TCGGATTGAAACTGAGACGTCCTTGTGTCTCAGTGGACTGCCTTGCTCTCGCTCTACGCCTGGCATAGGTCGTGACATCCTCGGTCATCCATGTGGACTGCCATCCACATTCCAAGGCAACCCTGTCAACAGCATGCTCAGCGATATTCACCCCCATTCCCAGAACCGGTTTGGCTATGCGGTTCCAACTGCTGCTATCGCAGACGGATTGACGCCTATGGGCATTCTCACATCGCTGACCAAGCAAGCTGTATTTCATATCGACCCTGAGTTCACTGACCTTTGTGGTCGGCTTCAGATTGGTCAAGATGAAGAGCAGCTGGAGCGCTGTTAGATGTGGCAGGTCAGCCGTGACCGCAGCATCCCATGCAGCATGAACCCGCTCGAGCAGAGCTTTCACCTTCACCTCAGTCATTAAGGCTCAGTTTGGCTTTTTGGGAGGAGGGTTCAGGGATCATTGCTGACCTTAAGGATACTCTGTTGATTGCCAAGCAGCCAGGGGGACCGAACGCAATGTCGTGGCGCTTCTCGGGATTGCGTCTGCATCGGTAGTAGACACTGCCAGCCGGTCAATCCCGATCGTTGCTGCTTGCCTTGCTCTGTTCTTCTTGGTTTCCTTACGAATCCTCTTCACTTCTTGGTCTTCTGATTCCGACGAGGAGGAGTCGTTGGCACTCTGCCTTGATTCACCCCCAGCAGCCGTCTGCTGCTGTTGCTGCATTTGCTGCATCTGCTGCATTTGCTGCATTTGCTGCATCTGTTGCTGCTGTTGCAACATGAAAGGGTTCATCATGGCCAGTGGGTTGTTCATTCCCATTGCTGGGTTCATTGCCCCCGGCATTGGGAACATCATCTGATCACTCACACGAGCGCTCTTCCTCGACTTTCCCATTGCTCTCGGCGACTGCCTCTGGCACTCTGCCTGGAAGCACCACTGCAGCACTAAGGGACTCGATCTTGAACACACATATGTTGATGGCGGCCAGGTCAAGAAATTCTTGAGCATCCACCCACTAGTCACTAGAGTCCGTGCACACTACGTGGCGTGGTCCCATGAACGGCCAGATAGCAAGCGTTTCAGCTTAAACAACTCACAATCACTTGCATCCTGCACTCCAGCCTTGCCATAGTAGCCAACCACCTTGGACACCAGCACCTGAGAGGTTTTATGGGGCTGTCACAGGAAACCAAGGTTGAATCAATTCACAGGCACAGTAATCCATCGAGTTGCTGCCGACACGACTGTATGCATAGGCACCGTCTTTGTTTTCTAAACGGCAAGCTCAAATGTGCCAGATCAGACGGACTGCAAAAGTGACAAATTTCAAACGCCCCAAGAAATGCGATTTCACATTGGCACTCTGCCTTTCCGGCACTCTGCCTAGTGACAGCGACACAAAAAAGAATCTGAACAGGCCACACTGTTTGGTGGCACTCTGCCTTAGTCACACTGAGAACTCTCTGGCACTCTGCCTTGTGAAAGTCCCCAGTGCCCAAGGACGAATGGGATGAAGAAGAGGAGGTCCACTAGATGGCTTTGTTTTGGCAACACAATTAATAAACCTACTCGTTCAGCTCAATCATTGACACTGATCAATCCTGAAAGCCATCTGCAGTTACTCCCCAATCAGGAACGAAGTTCGCAGTGGTCTGGTAAACATCCACAAATTCATCCTCTTCATCTTCCGATGGCGGGCCATCATCACCCATCTGGCTCACCGCGTCGAGGTTTTCCCCCCTTGCCTTCTGTTCCAGCTTCTTCTGACAATACACAAGCATGGTGTAATTGTAAGCATCCCAAATCTTCCCCGACAAAGGCACAATCCAGCTGTTCAGGTCCGTGGGCGGGAATTTGGCCTCCGAGATGACATCTTCCGTCGTATACAACTCACAGAGTTTCCTGGAGGCCTGCCACCAGTGCCAGTATGTCAGCTCCTTTCCCTTGACTCGATCACGGCCACCAACCGGCGGAGAGACATTGAACATGCACTGGAGAATCCGCTCAATGATCGCCACCCCAGTTTCCCTCTGAAGCCACAGGTGCCAGTCCCCAGGCTCAGAGTCTTCTGGAATCTGCTTCATGCCCTTGTCACACAACATTTCCCAGACAACCACAGTTTTCGAGCCCTTCGACCGAAACTCGATCATTCCACTGGAGTTCCTTCGGCTCCATTGGCAAGTTAATCTTTTGGCATTCTCGGACTGTGATCTCATGGACAGCCATGAGAAGCTGGGTGATGACAGTCGCAGTCTTGCTGTTGAACTTCCGATTGTTGTGGTGGGGGTCGAACTCCTGATTTTGTGGCACCGGTCTCGACATACGTGCCCGATTGGCGAGGCGGCCCACCTTCGAAGTCGTCACCTCCTTGTGACTGCATGGCAGCATTCCCCGCAACGCTGTGAGAGTTTTCTCCTCCTCAGTCTCTGGCTGCAAAAGCTCAGATGGAACCTTGATCTTGTTTTGACCCCTTGGCACTCTGCCTTGGGGTCCGTAATTCCGAGGTCCTCCTCCACTTCCAAGAAAGGCTTCACCTCTCCAGGCACTGGCGCAGTCGCACTCTTCGGGTTTGCGGCAGCCTTCGGGCTCGGGTCCACATTTATAGCCCCCAGCTCGTTCATGACCTTGTTGAAGATGGCGTCCTCGCTCTCAGTCACCCGGGCCTCCGGTACAGGAGGCATCGGCTCATCTTGCTCCTCTCGGAGATGGTCCCCTAGTACCATTGTTGCTTGGCTGTCACCCTCATTCTCGCCCAAGCGATCCGGGTGAGTCGAGGCAGCCGTGGCGAACGCATGCTCATCCTCCTGGCCTCCATCTCAAGCGACGGTTGCTCATCCTGCACCACAATTTCGACAAATTCAAAGTCATCGTCCGAGGTACCTTGCACGGGCTCCTCCTCTTCCACCACAACATCAACCAAAGTGTCATCCTCCTCCTCGGCTTCCACCTCCTCCTCGGCGTCCAACCATATTCCTCCCTTCTCCGTCTTCATATGCCGCAAAAAACCAGGATGAGCCTCGCCTGGACGGCTCTTTCCAACAAGGTGATTAGGGATATTGTCCTCCACTGGCACTCTGCCTTCGTGGCCCTTTCCGGCGGGCTTGCCCTTTTGGGCGAAGAAAGCTGCTTTCCCTTGCAGGACGGCTTGGCCCTTGCCTTTGATGCCCTTGGCCTTTGCCACCCAGGCCGGCTCGGCACGTCGGCCCTGCGGAACGAAATTGGAGCCTCTTGCCATATCGTCAGCATACTCGGCAAGTTCCCTGGCGAAATCCTGCACGTCCATCGTCTGCTGTTCCGTCAGTTCAGCAGGAGCACTTGCCGACGTAAAGTGTGGCTTGGCACCGGGGCCCATCGGCTCTGGCACTCTGCCTTGCTCTGCCGGCGGGGGACCCATCGGCTCTGGCACTCTTGGCGGGGGATTCGGCTCGGGATCTGGCACTCTGCCTTGCTTTGCCGGCGGGGGACCCATCGGCTCTGGCACACTTGGCGGGCGGTCCGGCTCGGGATGGCATGCCTTGCTTTGTCCTGGATGACGGGCAGTCTGGCTGCTCTGCCTGTCGGCATTGGTTGTTGCTGCTGGTGGCCAGGAGGAGGATGAGCTGGTTGCGCCGGCGCCCTTGGTAATGGTTCCCATTCCTGCTGCCAAGGGTGACCAGGCAAAGGCCCAGCATTTCTGCAGCCGTCCTGGTTGCACCGGTTCGCGTTGCACCTGTTGCCACGGAGCAGGCCCGTCAGGAGGCTGAGGCGGTTGATGCAAAGGCGGGCGGTCCCTCCTGGGAGGAGTCCCCTTCAGGATGAAGTACTGTTTTGCCTTTGCCTGGCACTCTGCCTTCTACTGTTCATCCTTTTGGCTTTTGCAGTCGCAGATCCAGGGGGATCCCAGGGAGCTGTCGACTCCAAACACTGACGTGGCGGAGGATTCGGCGGCGCAAGTACCTGCGGCTGAAGTCTGCTCATTATTGCCCTTGTTGCCTCCACCCTCATTTGCTGGCATTGTTGCCTCAAGTCCAGACCCTTCTTGAACGACTCTTCCAGATTCTTGCACAACGTGTACAGACTGCCCACCATTTCAGCAGTTCTCCACTTATTCGGTCCATAGTCAGATTTAAATTTTTCGCCAGCGGCAAGCATCTTCTTCCAGACCTCTGACGCGTACGCGGAGACGGTGGCGCTGTGGTTTGAGGGAATGGCCCACAAGCTCAGAAAGCAGTTGAGGTGACCCTTCATCTTTCTTGCCGGAACCTGCAGAACTGGTAGGCAACCGGAGCAGTCCACCAAGGCAAACGTCAACTTCTCCTCCCCCACTGGCACTCTGCCTTTGTGGTCCGGCACTCTGCCTCCCATGACAGTAATGTTATCCTCGTGGAGGTCCCCCAGAAGACACCCTTCCTGCCTAAGGGTAATGATTTGTAGCTTCATGATATACTTGAACAGCTTGAAGAGGATCAGCATGGTCTCTTTCTCCGGGAACTTGATTGGGTCGGAAAACCTCTGGTTGAGGAAGGCACCCACAGTCGTCCCGTTGCCTTTGGCTTCTGTGACGAGCACCGATTTTCTCATCCGCGGTGCCACTACGCCCGGGGCATGGGTGGCCAAGGTTTGCAAGCTGAAAGCGAGCGGGACAGGAAACGATTGCCACTCGGTTGTCAACGTTCGAGATTTCAGAAAATGCCAGTCATATTGTGATGAAATGTGAGTCTCGCATGTCAGTTGTGGCAGAGTTTCGAGCACGGCCGCGCATCAGGCACGGAGTGCCCAAGCAATTGCGTGAAGATCTTGAGTCTAACCTAGCATGTCCCTCCACTTTGTACACCACGGCAGGTAGACTTCTAGGCCGAACTGTAAAGATGGTTGTGGTAACATGCCATGATCGACAGAAGCCAGCACATGTGTGTTTGCGAGAAAACAGCGTCCTCAATTCGAAGCCATGGTTTTCTGAACTTCCGACCCCTCCAACGAAGAACGAGGTCGATCCTACCCGGGTCGTGAAGTTTCTCAGGTTATGAGCGCCCAATCCACGCAATGTGGTGCGGGTGGAAGCAGAAACTTGGCAGGCAACGTACCTACCTACGGAGGTGTGGACCTGGGTGGAGCTCGTGGTCCGATGCCCAATGGTGGGGAAGCCATGAATCGAGCTATGGCTGAAGGCCATGATCTACTGAACGGTGTGGTGACTGGCCCGTTTGAAGGTCGCCAGGAACCACACGTGCCCGGTGGGTCAGGTCCGACGGGCTCGCTATCAACTACTCGGCCGATGGAAGCGGCCCCTGAACCATCTTCGTCTGCAAGGCCACCTGCGGATCCTGTTCCAAGAGCTACTGCGAGGAGTGCAGGAGGTCTGGATGGGCCCCTTGGTGTGGAGATGCCTACGATGGTGGGAACCGGAACTGGCGCGACGGTGGATTCCGGAACGGGCGCGAGCGCACGAAGGTTTCAGGGTGAAACGTTGGGGTTGAGGAGTAGGCCAGGTCAGCAGCCAGCGACAACTCCAGAGCAACATGACATCAGTACACCCCGACAGGTGCCTTCAACCTCGCAACAACAGCCCCACCTCCAACACAGCAGCCACCAGCATCTCCTCCTCAACGCCTGCAGCAGCAACCAGTGACTACTCAACCTGCTGTTCAGGATGGTTTGCTGGCGGAAGGCAACGTGGGAGCCTATGCAGGCCCAGTTGCAGCAGCAGTGCCCCAGTTGACGGATCAAAGGAATGCCTTGGTTGCAGCACTTCAGGCGGGGGCGGCAAGGATGGTTCAGGATGGTGTGGGGGACAGTCCTGGAGCTGTGTCTGTGGAGTCGGGAGAGATGGTAGAGCACAATGGGGAGCAGATGGTTTGGTTTGCTCGACTACGGGGATTTGTTCAGCGAGGCTTGGAGAGAATGAGGCCCCCGGCTGCCTCCCCGAACTCATGGTACTCGCAATCCCCTACCTGGTCGATCGCTACGCCTAACTTCCCTGTACCGCAAGAACAACAACCCCGACTACTGCAAGGACCTACCGCTCTACGTGAACAGCAACCTCGTCTCCTGCAAGGACCCCTTGCCCAGCAAGAACAGCAACCTCGACTACTGCAGGGACTTTCCGGAACGCATGAACAACAGCCCCGACTACCTGCAGGGATCTCCCGTGAGCATCCAGGTGATCAATCGTCGACGGGCTCTATTCAACCGGAGGTTGTGCAAGAAGAGGTGAGGAGGGCGGTGCAACAGGCTACGCAGCAAAGAGATCATCGTGTCAATGATTTGCAGGCGGAGAATGCGGAGCTTCGACAGCTCCTGGTGTCGATGATGGAAGTGAACACCGATGCAAGGGGAGTTCATGGAGGCACAGGACCTATGCCAGGCGAAGGGTCGGGGCTTCAACCAAGAGGCCGGGAAACCGATCTAGGCACAGGCTTCGGACCTTCTGAACGAGGTGAACCTCATCGGTCTTCGGACGCAGGTGCCGAACTTCCGCAGGGTCCTCCAGGTCTACCTGCCCAGGGGTGATCTAGGTGGACGGCGAGGAGAGCAAGATCGGTGGATCAATGAGCCAGCTGGAAGGCGTCTGAGTGGTGGTGGCCAGAGTGATGCCACAGGAAAGCCCCAGAACCACCAGGAACAAAGCGCCAGCCTCGGCGCTCAGGCTGACGGTCACCGACAAGATGATGGGAGGGCCCAGCCGGCCCCAATGGACCTTCTAGCGGAAGGAATCAAGCAGCTTCAACAGCTGCATCTACGACGAGACGGACATGATCCGGAACTTCTGAAGGGAAGCGTGGAGCTTCCCAAGCTCCCAGAGCCCTACCAGGACCAGAGCGCCATTGCGTTCCTTGAGTGGATCTACGAGGCGGGACAGGTCGGCTCGATCACAGACCGGGCTGCGGGTTGGTGGAGTGTGAACGTGGAGTTAGCGATGGAGGCTTACCACCGCTTCCAGGCCGAGGTCCCTCTCAAGAGACTCCATGTGCAAGCCTCGGAAAGTTCTGAGGTGGATCCGGAAAAGTGGGCGAGATTGGAGCGGAGAGTGATGACTTTGTTACTGTCGGCCATGACTCCAACGATCAAGGCGGAGATCACGATGCTACGGATCAACCGTGTCAAGGATTGCCTCTTCAAGTTGTACACCACTTTCGCCCCAGGAGGAGCGAGTGAGAGGGCAAGTTTGATCCGGCAGCTTGAACACATCAAGCCCGAGGGGAACATCGTGGACTTGATCACTTCCCTTCGGAAATGGAAGAAGCTGACAGGACGGGCAGCCGAGATGGGCGTTTCTTTGCCAGACGGTTCGGTTCTCCTGATGGCTTTGGAGGGTGCGATCAAGAATGTAGCTGAAGGCAACAAGGATGTGGCGTTCAAGTTGAATATGGCGAAGCAGGAGCTACGACTGCCCTACCAGCCTTCCTTGACTGCGGTTCTGACTTATGCGGACCATATCCTTGCGGAGCTTCAGCAGGTGATCCCCTTCAATGCCAAGGAACAGGGCGCCAAGTTGAAGGGCATGACCTCGGACCCCGCGTCTCCAACGTCATCGGCGTCCTCACCTACAGGAAAGGGCCAAGGACAAAGGGCTCCTTGCAAGTTTTGGCTATCGCCAGAGGGATGCCGACGGGGAGCTGCCTGTAAGTTCAGCCATGTGTTCGCCACCAAGGAGGAGAAGAAGGCGAGGTGCTGGACTTGTGGTTCAACAACACACCGGCAAGCTGAGTGCCCTACCAAGCAAGGGGGCAAGCGGTCGCAGAAGGGCGAGAATGAGAAGAACAAGCAAGGACCTCCTGCTTTGAGTCCTCAAGTGGCAACTCTGACGGCGCCCTTGCCGTCTACAGCGACTCCGGTGACACCGACTACCGCGACCTCAACCTTGGAGCACCCAACGGCCCCACCAACGGAGAGATCACCTTTGACCTCAGCTACTACCACGGTGGACCCAATGGCTACTTCGAGTGGATCCTCCTCGGCGGCCTCTACGGTGTTGTTTTCGGACCAAGCGGCAGGAGAGGTCCGGGAGCTAGCTGAGCAATTCCTGTCGAAGATCAAGAGGCTAGCCCCGATGCAGGCGCAGACGGACGGGGCTGTGATGAATCTGGAGCTTCTCCTTCGATCCCAAGGACTTGGTGAGAGCCATGGGATGGCCCTCCTGGACAGTGGTGCTTCACATGCTTATCGAGCTCCCCGTTCCAAGGAGGAAGCATCTACCGCTCGCAGGGTCAGGGTGCAGCTGGCCGATGGCAAGACAGTCTACCTCCGCCAGAACAAAGGAGGAACCCTTCTTTCGGAGGAGGAGCAATGCGGAGGAACTATCCTGCCACTGGGGATCCCTCGGTTGTGAGCTCAAGTGGAGCAAGAAAAAGGTCCATGGAATACTGCCCACGAAGTTGGTGGGAGACACACCTGTGCTGCGTGAAGCTCAAGCACTCCAACTCATCGCCGACTTGGAACAGGTGGAACTGGGAAAACTCGAGAAGCAGACGGAAGAGGGTGTGCTGAAGATGATCACGCAGGATGAGGAGGCGGTCACCACGTGGATAGATCATGCCGAGGAGTTTGTCGAGACTGGCGAACGGGCCAGCTTGAGGCGCATGCTGTTGGACCCTGAAGCACCTCTGCAAGCTCCGTTGGAAGAGGACATCACAGCCCTCCTTGGCGTGGATGACAAGCTCCTACTTTCGGACGATGCGGGCGCGTTCTACTTGAAGGCGCTTCCTTGGAACCGTACGATGAGAAAGAGGTTGCTCAGGACCCGGTGGATAGTGCATCTCTACAATGGAGATGAGCAAGGCGCTGAGTTTGCCAGGGCAGAGTCTGATGATGTCACTGTGGTTCGGATGGATATCCGGAACAACAAGGCCTTCGACCTCCGTACCTACACACCGGCCGTTCGGGCCCTAATGTGGGCAGCGGCGAGGGGACAGATTGAAGGAGTGATTGGAGGACCACCTCGTGGCTCAGAGTCAGGCTCGATGCTTTTCCGCAGGATGATGCTGCTTTGGCTGGTGGCGCACACCGGGGCAACCAAGGAGTGTTTGTGCTCCCCTTTCTTCATGATGGAGGCGCCAACCTGGCATCCGGTTTGGACCAGTTTCTCCTGGACCCGGTTCAAGGATGAGTTCCGCTACTTTCGCTACCATGCTGTTGCTTCCGGGAATGGGGTGTACTTCTTGGCAGGGACGCTCCCGATTTCAGATGGCTTGAATGTGGAGGAGAGTGAAATCCCGCGGCTCAACTACCCCTCACCGGAATCGAGCTGGCCCCCTGAGCTGAAGGTCGGTTTGGCGGAAGCAATGGTTAAGTGGAAGAATGGAAGCCGACGACGTCAAGAAGCAATGATGTGTAAGATCGCCGGGCCCAAGGAGATGAATGCACGGGACCTAGCCTACTGGGAGAAGCATGTGGCCCACGGACATGTTCCTTATGACCGAAGATGTAGGACTTGCGTCCGGGCGGCAGCAACGGGCCGTGCTCATCGGCGATGTGTGGCCCCGTCGGCCTACACCCTGGGCATCGATACTGCTGGTCCCTTTAGGACAAGGGGAGAAACAGCTGGTGAGAAGGGACTGAGGTACCTGCTGATTGGTGCCTATTCCCATCCCCGCTTGGAACCGGCAAAGGACGCGGACCTACCTGAGGATGAGGAGGAGGTGCCGATTGAGGCTGAGATCGACCCCTTCGAAGAGGACCGTGGAGATGTGGAGCAACCTGATGAGGAGGAGGACGACGAGCAGAAGGCAATGAACGAACGTTTTAAAGCCCTCTATAAGGACATCGGCGACGATATTGACTACCAGACCCTTCCCTTCGTCGTTCCAATGAAAACTCGCACAGCGAAGGAAGTGCGGGCCCGGATCCAGCAGATCTACCTACAGCTACGACAGCAAGGACTCCCTTTGGTGCGCATCCACAGTGATCGTGGACTTGAGTTGATGGCCAAGGAAACAAGGGAGTGGATGGCTAGTCGGGACATCCTGGCAACGACTGGGGAGAGTCAACAACCCCAACAGAATGGCCGAGCAGAGGCGATGGTCAGAGTCGTCAAGAACCGTGTGAAGCTTCTGTTGAGGGCGGCTTCCTTGCCTATGTCCTGTTGGCCCCTTGCTGCGGAGTTCCATGCCAAGCGACAGCGAGACTTGGCTTTGGGTGATCGCTCCGATGCGGCGCTGCCGTTTGGGGCGCCAGTTCACGTGAAACACAAGAGGTTCGGGCAGGGTGGCCGGTACGACCTTGCTGAACGATGGCGGTCTGGCACCTTCGTTGGATATTCGGGAGACGTCCGTGAAGGACGTGTGGTGCGGCATGGCGATGGGAGCTACACGACGGCCGTGCACATCAAGCCGTACCTCATCGACTCCGACGACCTGGTGAACCATGGTCCCTTTGAGATGGAAGTTGAAGACCCGGTGCGCCGAGTCAGGGGCAAGACCTCGTTGGCCCAGCTCCTTTCAGATCCCACTACGGACGTTGATCGCAAGGCCAAGGAGCTTATGGAGGCGGAGCTCTATGGAGTGGAGAACTTGGTGGAACTATGGGAGACCCTGAAGGTCCACGCGAAGAGTACTACACCTGGCTTCTCTATAGCGGTTCTTTTTCTGTCTTTTTTTAAGTCGTTGTTTTGTATATAGACAACTAGAGCGCAGAAGGTGAAATATAGAATTTGGAAACCTGATTGTTCAACTTCATTCGCAGTAGAATCTCTGAGCTTTGGTTGAGCAGCCACATGCAGCCACCTTTTTTGAAGTGTTCAGAAACAAGTTATTGGTTGCACCATGGCAAGATTATTCTCCAAACTTTGCAGCCACGGTTCAGAAACATGGTTTTGATCATTTAATCAGAAATAGCAGGTCGCCACCAGGTGTGTGCTGCACGGTTTAGAAATATGGCTTTGGTGGCTGAAACAGCCAAAAAAAACAGGTCGCACCCAGGTGCGTTCTGTTCCTGGCCACACAAATCTTTATATTGTGCAGGCACGGTTCAGAAACATGGTTCTGGTGGCTGAAACAGCCAAAAAAAACAGGTCGCACCCAGGTGCGTTCTGTTCCTGGCCACACAAATCTTTATATTGTGCTGGCACGGTTCAGAAACATGGTTCTGGTGGCTGAAACAGCCAAAAAAAACAGGTCGCACCCAGGTGCGTTCTGTTCGCGGCCACATGTTTCTTGATTTTGTTTTGCCTTTTCCAAGTACGACTTTGTTCCTAGACTAAATGACCTTAAACTCTTAAAGCACGAAGATGCATTGTCCTGCCAGGCGCAGGTATACCGGCGCCTTGTCATTGCGGGCACGGAATTGCATGTTTTGGCAGCAGGTACTGATGACACCCAGGTGCCTCGTGATTCCGGCCACAGAATTGCATGATGTATCGGCAGCCATCATGATGAGCAAACTTTAAACCATAAGGTTGAAAACACTACACCGCCTACGCCCTATAAGCCCTAAACGCCCCACTACTAAATCGACGGCTTCAGTGGGGATTGGGTTAGAGTACAGGCAGTCCTACTATATAGGGGTAACGCTTAAAGTCGTACATAACTACATCAAATGCGGAAATAGCAAATGGACTGATGCAGTCCGGTAGGATGAATATAGATAGTTTAGGTTTGCGTAGCAAATGGGCTGATGCAGTCCGGTAAGTATAGGCTAATGGGCTGATGCAGTCCGGTAGGTATAGGCTAATGGGCTGATGCAGTCCGGTAAGTACAGGCTAATTCATTCAATATATCTTGGGGTTTTTAATACCAAATGGATTGATGCAGTCCGGTAGGTATAGGCGTAGGACCTTCGATGCATCTATGGTTTATTATGTTTATTACAAATGGACTGATGCAGTCCGGTAGGTACAGGGTTCCGGGTTAGGATTCGATACATTTACGGTTTATTACAGATGGAACCCACCACAAATCAAGAATGACTCCGGCGTTAAGAGATCGGTTCGAAAATGCGCTTATAAGCTCGGGGCTTGCGTTTTTTGGGTTAGTGACTTAGTGTTGCTGGTGTGGGTTTTTTGGGGTTTAGGGCTTCGTGATCCACGGGCTTTAGGGACTGAGTGCTTATAGTTTAGTGTTTGAGGGTTTAGGGGGTTGGTACCCAGTGGCCTAGTGATCCATTAGTGATGCGTGGTTTCATTATGATATTGTGACCAGGCCAGGTTACCCTGCTTAGCAAGTTTTCCCTCTGCACAACAAAAAGAGCAAAGACGGATCAGTACCCAGTGCATCTGGCAGAGCTTGCCGCAATCGGCGAGTCCTCGGCTGAGTGCAGCTTCTCTGCGGGGAGTTGAGCAAGGTATCTTGGTATGGGGGGGGCGCTGAGCAAGCAGCCCGTGATAGACTACACCAAGGCGCTGAATAAGCAGCCTGCGCTACAGTGTAAGTAGGTGGGCGCTGAACAAGCAGCCCCAAGGCGCTGAATAAGCAGCCTGTACTAGAGCGAGCTCGGTGCCACGCTTTCCTCCCGCCCCCCTCCCACACGATCTTAAGGACCTGAAGCAGTGTGCCAGGATGACATGTGGAGGCCTCAGCAGGCCTAGCATTTGCTAGAAGGAGCTGAACGAGCAGCATCGAGCAGCTTGAGAGGGTGCTGAAGAGCCATAAAAGCTACTACAGTCCGACTGGAGTCTGCTTCAGGGCTGCTTGGGTGGAGTGGGTCCACACCGGTCATCGCCTTGAGGTGTTGCGCAGCGCAATAGGCGGCACGTGACTCAGTAAGCAATGCTTCACAGTTGATGGTGTGATGGGAGGCGCTGAGCAGGTGCGTATAGGCCTTGGGCTCGTAATGGGATGGAAGGAAGGCGCTGAACAAGCAGCCTCAGAGGGCGCTGAACAAGCAGCCCGACCAAACCTTAGGCTCATGATGGGATGGAAGGCGCTGAGTAAGCAGCCTCAGAGGGCTCTGAACAAGCAGCCCCCATGAAACAGGCTTGAAGCTCGTGACGGGATGGAAGGCGCTGAACAAGCAGCCTGAAAGGGCACTGATTAAGCAGCCCTGCTGGCCTCATACTAATCCAGTGAAATAGAATTGCCTCGTCGTTGGTGTTCAAAGGCGTGCGCCTGATCTCGGCCTTCCTGCGCCACGGCAATGGCCAGGAGCCCGGGCTTGGCCACGGTCAGATGCGAGCCGTTGTTGTTGCTGATGGCATGTTTGATTGAATCTTGGATTGATTCTGGGCCGCATGTTGTGGCTTAGTGCGCCGGAAGATCACGCATGACATGAGGCCAGAAACAGCCTAGAACATCATCAGGGCATCGAGCAGCCTAGAGCGGCAACCGGCAGACTGAAGCTTAGGGCACCAGCCACAGCACTTGCACCAGCAAAAGCACCGGCACCTGGCACCAGCCACAGCACTTGCAGCAGCACGGCACCAGCACAGCAACAGCACCAGCGACAGCACAAGCAGCAGCAACAGCGGCTCCGAAGCCATGGGGCGTTCGCGGAAAGACAACCATGGATCGTGGCAGGGGAGCGGAGAGCACAACCCCGCGAAGAGGAAGTTCAGAGGCTCCCGACTCTTGGTTCAAATTGGCTTCAACAACGACTCGACAATAAACACCAGTGCACAACGTACTGTTTGGATTTAAGGGAAGACACCTGCTCAGCGACTACGCCTCGCAGATCGCGCAGCGGATCGCGCGCAAGAGGCTGAAGAAGCGTGGCAGGACGGGGTGCCGGTTGTTAGAAGAGGGGAAGGGCGCTGAGCAAGCAGCCCACAAAAGGCGCTGAACAAGCAGCCTATATAACATAGAACCCAGGCTTGATGTGCAGGCGCTGAGTAAGCAGCCTGAGGGAAGGTTTCAGACCAAACCAACCCATGAGGAAGCCTGGGGCCGCGCGGAGATGCGAGCCGAGCAGGCGAGGCACGCTCACATGGCTGCGGAGGGGTTCTGCCGCAAGAGCCACACATCACAGGCAGACGAAGCGGCTGGAACAGCCGGCCGTGAGGCGAAGCGGAGCTCGGTGCAGCTCCACAATGAGAGAGTCGAGAACATGAAGCGCGAGGCCGGATGAATTGTGCGCACTGCCAAGGTAACGCCAGACAGCATGCCCTTTTCTCAGGAGCAGCACAAGGCGACTCTCAAGAAGATGGAGGCGCGACGAATTTTGCATTGCCAAGATGGCGCCAGACAGACTGCCCTGTTGTCAGGAGGAGAAGAGCCGCGAGTTGCTGAAACAGCAGGCCCGATGAAGCTGACTGCATTTGCGAGATCGCAGTAGACAGACGGCCCGTTCCCAGGAGAAGACGCAGCTGCAGCTGCAGCACCGCGACCAGGAATGGACGGCAGCTGTGAAGCACCGCGATGCATGGCACTTCGGGGTGCGGAAGTCCTTGAATGACGACCTCGAGGACGGACAGGACATTTAGTTCCATTAAGCTTTCTGAGTGACGCTGGCAGGAGTCGCAGTCGCAGCGGCGGATTTTGGCCGGGCGCTTGCAGGACGAGCAGGAGGCGGCTCGCAAGGACTGCCCTTTGCCAGCCTCTTGTGAAAGTTCTGACAGCCTTGAGCGCCAGGACAGAAAGGAAGCGCGGGCCGAATTGCTCAGCGAGCAGGCGAAAAACATCGCCTTGGAGGCGCGGTTAACTACAGCTGGTTACGCGGCACCACCCTGGAGCATTCTGGCAGGTGCAGATGATCGGCCGCAAGAGAGGCGGCGGTGGCGGCCGTGAGGGAGGCTCCGGCGGCTATGCCGGAGTTGGGGGTAGTAGTGCCAGCGGCAAACGCAGGTGACTGCAGGACAGTTTAATTTTCAGGGAGCCCAGTACGCCAATATGAGGATCCTGACTGTCGCTGTCGCACGAGGGGTGTAGCACACAGCACCAACAGCAACAGCACCAGCAACAGCAGCAGCAACAGCACCAGCCACAGCACCAGCAACAGCACCGGCACCAGCCACAGCACCAGCAACAGCAGCGGCAGCAGCCACGCCACCAGCAACAGCACCGGCATCAGCCACAGACAGTGGCTGCAACAGCCATGGGGCTTGGGCTTTCGGGTTTGCCGCGGATTAGCCGAGGTGGCTTAATTATATAGCATTTCGAGATGTCAATGCAAAGCTCCATGCGGGGGGAACGGCGGCAATAGCAGCAGAACATTCCCGCACTAGACAGGAGACTAGATAAGAAGGAAGATGTAGGAGAAGACAAACCCGAGAACCCGAGTCTTAGTGGCCACGTTTGTGCTGCTGGAGCTGAAGCATGCGGCACCGGGTGAAAAGAGCCGATCTTCACATGTGAATCTCACGGAACATACAGAGCACTTGCTGATGTGGGCGCATGCTAACTGCAGAGCCCACCTTACGACATAATTGCTGCCCAGGCGTCTCTTCTTGCTCTCTGCTGACTGGGTCGCATTGCGTTGCGGCCTCATCGCATGTAGTTGCATGTTATAAAGCCCATACGGCGCTGAAGAAGCAGCCGTGTCGCCGTGGCGCTGAACAAGCAGCCAGTTAGTTCTTGTGTGCTGAAGTGGTTGTTACACCGTGCCTGTGTTGAAGGGGTTTTTATAATGACTGATGTCTGTGCGGCGCTGAAGAAGCAGCTGTGTCGACGTGGCGCTGATTAAGCAGCCAGTTGTTGTGTCTTCTTGGCGAATCAGAGAACCTTATAGTCCCTTGACATCAGATATAATCTTGGCTGCTTGCTCAGCGCCAGATTTCATGACCTTATTGGGAACCCTGGAACCGACATCAGATATAACCTTGGCTGCTTGCTCAGCGCCAGATTTCATGACCTTATTGGAAACCCTTGAACCCTCCAGTTTCGAAACGCCCCTGTAGTCATGAAATCATCATGACCTGTGGGGCGCTGAACAAGCAGCCGTGTCGGCGTGGCGCTGAACAAGCAGCCAGTTGTTGTGTCTTTGTGCCCGAACCCCCCTCAACCCCCCCCCCCCAACCCCCCCCCAAACCCCCCCCCCCAACCCCCCCCAACCCCCCCAAACCCCCCCGAACCCCCCTCAACCCCCCCTTTCCCGGTAGTCACCAAACCCTGTTATTAGTGGGAAACCCCCCAGTTCTCAAACCCCCCGGGAAAGCAAACCCAAAACACAACCGGGCCCCACGAGGCCCCGGAAGCCGGAAAAACCAGACTTCCGTCCAAGTCTGGTTTCGAGGTCTGGTTTCGTGTTCGGGTAATTTTCGTCCTGCCCGACGAAGCCTAAGGCATGATGGGAATGGCTGGCAAAACAGCACTGGCTCAATTACATAGTCTGGTTGCCTCCCTCTGTACAGAAATGGCTCCAAAGCTCAAAACGGGCACACGAGGGCCTGCCAGGAAAAGGGATTCCCCAATCAAGCTATGCTGTGCTTACAAGCGATGCAAGAGTGGAATCGATGTTAAAAATATCGGCAAAGACCTGCAAGTGAAGAAGAACAAGGTGAACCTTGAGAAATGCCGTGACTCGCAGCATGCAGCCGCTAAGGTGATTCGCTTTTGCTGCCTTCGCCACAAAACGCTGTGCCTGAATCCAAAGCCAGAGCCGGCTAAGAAACGGGGGCCCCGAACGACTTTGAACAAGAAGCAGATTCTTCATTTGATGGAGGTGCTGAGGCAAGACGGGGCGCCCTGGGTTTGCGTGGCAATTCTCATTCAGCTTGCTCTTGCCGAACGTGGCGGGGCCACGATGCAGTGTCGGTTCCGCTGGCTCCAGAACTTAGCGCCTGAGGATCACGGAGTCCCACAGATCTCTGTGGAAAAGGTGAACCGCAAGACAAACGCGCGGGACGTGCCGATCCCGGCGGCCCTGGCCAGCTTGCTGCATCGATGGCTGCATGACGCACCCTTATGTGGCTGTAACAGCCAGTGGCCGTTCCAGAATCAGGACACCGCGCCAGACAACTACCTTTTTGCTTCCCGTACAGTATCTGGCGAGAGAGTATGGAATCAACCCATGACCCGAGAGGCATATCAGCTAAGATTGAGAAGAGCAAGCGAGATCATCGGACAGGAGCGAGCCAATACGCGACAGGCAGGGGGGGAGGAGCACTGCTTTGAAAAGGTTGACCTGACGAAGATCGGGACCCATACCTTCAAGCGATCATCCATCACGCTCTTATCAGCGATTTGCACCTCCCCAGCGGTTCTAGAAGCAATATCGGCCACATCAAGCGGGACTTTGGACAGATATTACGATGATCCCACTCCAGATAGACAGATCCAAGCTTTGGATACTGCATTCGGCCCGGTCTGGCGAAGAATGACTGGGAAAAGCACTCCTTTGGAGGCTGCCAGCACCGAACCTCCCAAGAGAAAGCGGTCTGCAGATCCGTCGGACCTGAGCGGTGCGGCAGATGTCGATGCTGATGAGATTCGATTCTGTGCTAGATGTGGCGAACCACGTACAGATCTCAGATGGAAGGGGTGCCCGTTTTGCTGCAGACCTTACAAGTGAGCGGCCTCTTCACTCTGATGGGAATCTCATCTTTCAGCCACTCTGCAATATTGGTCCACGATGTCGTCGGCTGCACAATGTTTCACAAACCCCTTTCTGAATTCAAGCTCCTGGAAGAAACTTCTGGGATGCTGCATCGAGGTTAATGGCGAGATCGATGTCCAACCCCACTCCATCTGAAATGCAGAAAGGAAGCCCAAACCTGAATTACAAGATGGTTTAGTCTCACCAGCGTGTGCCTGCACAGGTAGACTACGGTCATCACGCTTCCAAAAAAAAACCCTAAATCCCCAAGCATGGTTACCCACATTCTTAAGCCTTCAAGTCAATCCCTGAACCAACCAAGAGCCCACGCCAGGTCAACAAGGCCCTCACGCGATGCTTTCCGGAGCTCCGTGGCAGTCTCAGGGGCTGACGACTGACGATGCCTGGGTTGCGGGTCCATCGAACAGTTCACGAAGTGAAAAATACTAAGAAGTTGCTGCTGCGTATAGTGGCTAGGGTGAATTAGGTCTACCTCTTTGTCCGACTGTATATAGCTAAAGAAAACAGAGATACAAACGCACACACACACACACACACACTGACACACACACACACACACACACACACACTGCTTGCTCAGCGGCAGATTTCATGACCTTATTGGAAACCCTGGAACCCTCCAGTTTCGAAACCCCGAAACCCCCCCTATACTCATGAAATCATGTGGCCCGTGTAGTCATGAATCATCATGACCTGTGCGGCGCTGAAGAAGCAGCCGTGTCGACGTGGCGCTGAAAAAGCAGCCAATTGTTGTGTCTTGTTGTGCTCGAACCCCCCTCAATTCAACCCCCCCCCTGTAGTCACCAAACCGACCGGGGGTGCTCTTGTCTTGCAGGGAAACGAATTGTTGCGATTACCTAGCGCCCCCAAGCCTGCATGCCTTTGCAGGGTTCTTCCTCCGTGAAAGATACCCAAATTTGTAGCAATCGATGATTAGACTGGCTCGCGACCACGCCATTTTTTGTAAAGCCTCGCAACACCGCTTTCAGGCTTTCAGCCCGCTTTGATTGCCAGCTTTGCCATCCGTCTCCTACCCAAGGATGTCAAGACCTCCCACAGCAATGCCTCCAGCACTGTCTGTGTGATGCCATTGCCCAAGGCAGTGCCCAGCTGTCGCTCACTCAAAATGCGGTCCCATTTGACTTTCAAAGGGTTCAGACCCTGTGCCCTCATCAGACCCTGTGCCCTCATGAGTTCTGTGACGCTCAACTGCCGGCGCAGGCCGGTCACGAAGTGAGGACAGCTACCGCCCCGACTCGCCGTCAAGCACGGAAGCCTGTTCAGAACGCTGTAAGGTCTGGACGGCGAGGCCCCGATATCAACGGCCACGTACTTCTTGTAAACGTCAATCCCTCTCTTGTTGAACTTCAGCTCTGCAGCCTCCAAGTTCCTCTTGGCCACGCGGTTCGCCGGCATGTCCTGGATTCTTCCTCTGATTTTCGTGTCCAAGATACTCTTGAGACTGACTTTGCGCTGCACCTTCGGAAAACAAAACGGCTGCTTCATCTTGGACCGTGCGATCCCCACGATGAAGAGCCGTGTGCGATTCTGAGACAGGGCAGAGATAACGGGACACCAGCTACAACATCATAAACAACCGGTCTAGCGGGGACCTAAGATTTAGACAAAACACATTCCCTCCCACAAGGCCTGCGGCACACCGTAGTGCAGAGAGTTCAAAACTTTCCACTGAAGCACGTAGTGGCCCGGATTCTTCGTCTTCTTCTTCTTCTTCAGCTTCTTTGCGTCCAGGCTTTTCTTTGCGTTGTGCTTGGCTGTACGCAGTCGCTTGATTGACCGCAGCTTCCTGATAATCTTGTCGAAAGTCTTGCGATGTCTCTCTAGGAGGCCCCCGACGTTCTCCAGGATGAAGGCCGCTGGCTTGTGCTGTTGCAGCCACTTCACAATGGCGAAGGCGACAGAGCCGCGGGCATCGCCTTCGCCACCGCCGTCGCCGGCAGCACTGAAGGGCTGGCACGGAAACCCTGCCACAAAGAGATCTGCCCTTCCTCCTGTTGCCAGGAACTTGCGACTGTTGCAGTCACTGACCACGACGGCCGGGCCATGATTGCGCTTGAGAAACCGACGCATGTGCTCCAGCTTCTCACAGGCCATCAAAAGCTTGTGAGGCACACCCATTGCCTTCAGGGCAAAACATTCTGTGCCCAAGCCCGAGCAGGCGCTGACGACACGCAGCGGCTCAGACATCTTTTCCCGAAGTTACGGATCTACAAATGCTGACTTCCCTTACCTAGTTTGCTCTATCGACCAGATGCCGAAGTTACGGATCTACTTTTGCTGACTTCCCTTACCTAGTTTGCTCTATCGACCAGAGGCCGAAGTTGCGGATCTACTTTTGCTGACTTCCCTTACCTAGTTTGCTCTATCGACCAGAGGCCGAAGTTACGGATCTACTTTGGCCGACGTCCCTCACCTAGTCTGCTCCGTCGACCAGAGGCCGCAAACCTTGGAGACCGGCCGGGTACGACCACTTGAGCAAAGCTGCAACATTGCAAGAATCAGAATGCTTTGTCAAGGTGGTGAATACTGTGACTTTGTGTTGCAGCTATGTGACTAAGTGAGGACGATACCGTGAATCTCATTCCATTGCGCAAGCCCGACACATCAACAACCTCTGCCACCTCGCAAGGCACAAGCATGCTGCTAAATAGTCTGCCGTTTGTAATACCTTGCACAGCCTTCTCCATGTGCAACACAATCAGACATCCTACATGCGCCACAGTGTCTATGCGAAACCCAGAAAAGTCGCTGCTGTTTCCATCTGCTGCTTCCCCGCTCACAGCTGCCATCCCAAGACGCAGTTCGCATACTGCGCCTACCGGCCAATTGGGCTCTGACCTGCCTTTTCTTCTGTCCCTGACCAGGAGCGATGCCCTCTTCCTGTCTCTCCCTCTCTCTCTCTCTCTCTCTCTATCTTTAGTCTGGGTAAACCAGTCTCTCGACTTTCACGTTTGAAGAACAGATATTGCCAGTGCCCAATTGCGCCGAAAAGCACCTAGTCCATGTTGCCAACTATGTTCAACCAGCGGCATTCTGCCTCCGAAAGGTCCTTGGCCCGGAGCTGCAACAGTTGCCTGTACTTCAAGCGATAACAATCGTCGTCATTCAGGGAACCGCTGTTGGCCATAGCAAAAGAGACCAAACCCGCGACATTGATTGCAGTCCTGGCCGGCAGCATTGTCCGGCTACGTCGTTGGATCTTGTCGAAGAAAGCATGGCCGACCCCCAAGACATCGTGGACCTTTGACATGTCGTTGCGAAACAATGTCTGCAAATGGACTTTCTGCTGCTCCAGCAACTGCTTGAAGTTGTATGGTGACTGCTCCAGCCGCTGCGGATCACTGGCCGACTGCTTTCTCTGCTTCGCCTCGTGCTCCCAGATGAAACTCTTGCTCCTGCTGCTGGGCCTGGTCTTCATCGGGAGCCTTCGAACAGCGACCAGCCTGTTCGTCGACCCTCGCTGGCTGGGTCGGCACTTCCAGCACACCTTGTCATGACGGCGGTGCGTGTAGTTGATCCGGCAGCGAACACACTTCCAAGGCATGGCAGGAGAAGCACTGCAGCAGCACGCCCCCAAAAAGTGTATGCTTTCAGTTTTAGAGTGGGTAATATTATCCCAAAAAGTGTAAAGTGTATGTATCCACTCAGCTACTAAGTTGGCTCAGTTTGCACGGTAGCTTCAGCACGTCCTAGTAGCAAACTGAAACATCTTGCGGTGTCACTAGCACGATGGGTCAAGCCACACGATGACGCAGTTCTGTGTTGGATCCATGCACACTGGAACATCTGGAAAATAGCGGGTTGCTTCCAAAGTTTGTAAAGTTTGTGCCAGATGCAATCGCAAGAAATACGTAGCTTTGAGGAGTGGCCCCACGAGCCCCCGTCCTGGAGCCTGAGTGCAGTACAGCACGTGTCAAGCATCTTGCTGTACAGCCTTTCAAAACATCGGACGTCACGTCATGTCATAGTGCTTCAACGCAGGTATTCTTGTTCCATATGAGCTTAGACAGGCCACTGGCCACATGAAATCACGAGATACCAAGCGATGGGACGCGGCAAGGACAGCGGATGGTGTCTATTCCTGAAGCACTTGCTGACGCAGACAGTAGGCTCATGCAGTACGAGTCCGGGCAAGATTGTGTGAAGGTAAGCAGGCCAGACTCAAGTCTATGCGGAATCCATGGTCTGACAGCCTGGAAACGATTCCGTACGTAACAGGTAACATTGCGGAGGAATATGGACAGGCGACCGACTACAAGGCATCTCAACTCCGACGAAGCAAATCTTCTCGCTAGGCATGGCACTCGGCACTCGCCAGTCTTGCAACTCTGAGAACATGAGCGTGTCTTCCCAGCAATTCGTTCAGGCTCATTTTTTGCTTGCAGTGCGTGCGCAGGCGGCAAGGGATCTGAACTTCACCCCTCTAGCAGGCAACGTGCAGTGGCCGGTTCAATGTACTCAGACGGCAGGATCTAGGCCGCTGTGGGATTTTTTTGGTTCCAGACTTATCCAGTGACCGGCCAGCAGCATGCTCTGAGCCTGCGAAGACTTCAGAAATCGTGGTGGGAATTTGGCGGACTCTCAAAATGGGATGGGCTGGCCAACTTGCTTCAAGTAGCTGATAATTTACAAGCACGACCCTGAATGCACTTGCCTTTGTATGTAGCATTCTGTGCACCTACAGACACGCAACCGCAAGCTCACAAATGAGCTGTATCAGCCAAGCCCTGCCCGAATCCGCTGTGACAGCGATGGCAAATCGAATCTCACTCGTCGCTGACATCCTCGTCCTCGTCCTCATCCTCCTCGTCGTTGTCCTCTTCGGCGTCATCGTTCTCGTCATCCTCTTCCTCGGGCTCCTCCTCGACGACCTTCTTGGTCTTCTTCTTCTTAGTCTTTGTCTCCTTGGGATCCTTGCCACCCTTGGACTTTCTCTTCCTGCCCTTGCCGGTCGACTTCGCGACGGGCCTCGTCACCTTCTTCTTCTTCACATTCTTGCGGCTGCTGCCGATGATCTTGGCCAGTGCTGCCTCGTACAAGGCATCCTGCGGATCCCTCATTGCCGAGAACACACACTGTAGCAGCCGCTCGTGCAACGCCTTCCCATGCTTCTCGTTGAAGACGACGGCCAAGCAGGGGATCTGCGACCTTACCGCTGCCATGCAACACGTCTCGTCGAGAGTGGTCAGGCAGATCAGGCCGTTGAGGCTGTACGAGTGCACCAACTCTTCCTGGTTTTCTCGCACAACGCTGCTTGAAATTTAGACTGCTTTCTGAATCGCTCATGGAAAAAGCCCCCAGCACAGGATATGAAGACGGCACTTACCATTGTGCTGCACGACTCAATGGCCAGTCTTGGGTCTAGAACGGACCAGGTTTTGCTTCCCGATACCGACATGAGGATGCTCGGGGTGTGACCTGTCATGTTGTACTCTCCTCGCTTAGATCTTCGAGTCTGGGATGTGGAGCATGCGGTGGAGTTGAACCGTGCGCCCACCACGACAAGCCCAAGTTGGGATTAGGGTTGCCTTGCCGAGTCACCAGACAAGGGCTCGGGCTACAAACCGAGTGCTCCAACAAAGCCTGCGGCTGGCTCAAAACTAGCAACAAGCAAATCCCCTCTCCTGAAGAGAGAGGGTGCTTCGACCCAGGACCCTGGACCAGCGGTGAACTCCGGGCATGCTGTGTTTTTCCTTTTTTCCTTGCTGATGTGCCAGGACAGGATTCTTCTACAGGTGGGTCTTGCGGAAGCAAAGGCCTCGTGCTGCAATGGATTCATTTTCCTGATAATAGTCAACTCCAACGCCTCCCAAACCCGACAAGACCCCAAGCAACAATAGTTTAAAGGCTCAGTGCATGTCTTGGGGCTGTGACCTCAGAACTCGGACCGTCAAGTAGCTATGTGTGAGGCCGAGATTCCCAGAGTTCGACTGGCAAAGTGTGCCAACAGACCGGTACACGATCTTGCGACAAGTCCGGTCGCTCCGTCTTCTCCTCATCTGGGATCGTGCCACCTGCGCGGACAACGCCGCCTCCTGCGATGATGTTCGACTTCTCTTTCTTGTTGACAAGCCAAAGCTGGTCGTACGGAGGCACGCCGATTCCCTGAATCACATTCGTGGCAGGACTTGTGCTGGTAAAGTGCATCCGCTCCTGCAGGTCCGGGGGCACCATGGTGATGTCCGGAGAAGCGCACACCACAGCACCCTGAACCAAAGCAAGCACTCCCTGCTTCTTGCCTCGGCGCTGTTGCAGCGACTCTTCATCGAACTGCAGAAACAACGTCTCGCGCCGCTTCGGAAGTGCTTTTCCATTCCCATCCGTCATGCACTTGAGAAACGTTTCATTGTGCCCGAAATGCCCAGCATTAAAGCAAAAAAAGAGCATGTTGGAAGGAAAGCTCTCATCTCCCTCGCCGTTCCGACCCAAGATGCCGTTGAAGTACTTCCGCATGTGCTCGTACCGAAATCTCGGGGTACGACAGTGGGGAAGCGAATCGCTCTCGCCTGCGTGCTGCACGGCATACATCACGCCCACTCTGCTCATCTTCCACACGGACTTCTCCTTCAGCATGTCCACGAACTCCGAGCCGGACTCCACCTCAGTGACCGTTGTGATGTAGCGCCGGACGAGTGAGTCTGCCTTCTCTAGGAAGCCTTCGACAGCGCTGTCGGTGTCTTTCTCCAGCTCCTCCGCCGTCAAGACGGAGGTGAGCATGTCCGCGAAGCCCGCCTCCTCCTCTGCTGTTCCAGCAGCTGGCGCACGCGCTGTTCCAGCGGCCGCAGCAACAGCCTGTGCTCAGATGGCCATGACTGAATGACTGTGCATCACTTGCAACATGTCAGCTGCACTCACGCCTCTGTTGATATCCACTGGTGCTCTTAAACTGTCTTACTACACTACGACCTGCAAACATGCAAAGCCCGTGCCTCTGGGGCATGCTGCTGCACGTCCTCCTCGATACGGAGTATCTCCGACTGGAAGGGCTCCGTCGCGAAGAGCTCGGCAGCAGTCTTCCCACTCTTCATGAGATGCCTCAGCTGCCCGTCGAAGCGCGGGCCAAAGATGACTCCGCGCATGAAGTCAAGGATCTCCTGCGAGCCTGGCTGGACGCTGCCCTTCCACGCGGAGTTCTTGTCGAAAAACTTCGCAGCTCTGCCGGGCGAGCTCACCGAACGGATCACCGCCTGTCATTCTGTCATATTATGCAATGAACCTCTGCCCCATCCAGTTCAGGCTTCGATTCCCCGAGAGAAAGAACCCGTTTTGGTCAAGTCGCGAGTGCTGCAGAAACACTTGCCTAAGCCCTGAATCTGCATCCAAAGTTTGAAAAGGATGGAACGCTCTGAACACTACATCCGCCCCAGAGTGTCTTTGCCCTCGCCCGACCTTGGACTCCGCGTCCAAGGCTTGCTGTTCCAGCCACTGATGCAAGAGGTGCTCAAGCATCTTCTGCTTCTCCAGCATGACGTCCAGCAGCCCTCTGTTGTTGGTGGTCTTGCCAGTCCAGTTCCTCGCGGACATTTCGCCGGAGGTGGCGAATTTCCGGTCAACATAGAACTTGATGGCATCCACCGCCCAGGCCAGTTGGCCGGCATCTTTGGTCTTCGCCATGAGTGCCTCGAGCTGGGACATGCTGACATGCTGTAAAACGGGCTGAGCTTCCCGTACTCGCGCTCGCAGGCCAGAATGATCTGCTTCACCTCATCCACGGCCAAGACATTCTCCAAGACTTTGAAGGCGTTTTTGATCTCAGACGCACACCGTTGAATGCATTCAGACGAACAGCTTTGGAATTACGGGCGAGGCTTCGTGGGGATCGTGTAGTCTTCCTGCTATGTTTTGCTTTTCTCCAGCCCACTGGCTATTTAGAGTCTTGCCAATCAAACCAAAGGGACATAAGTCTCGGACGTCACATCTTCTTCGCCGGATGTCGTTGGCAGCTCCTTCATGAACTGCTGTGCCAGCTGCGCTGGGTCGCATCCACCCGGTCCGTGGCTTTTCAGCTTGCGCAACCTGAAGCCTTCGAGCTCGAAGATCCGTTGGATCGCCGATCTGCCCACGAGCTTGAACGACTTCACTACCTTTGCTGGATAACTTCGGAAAGGAGCTTGCCTTAAAACGCAAACTGTCAAACCGATGCATTTCAAAAACTATTCAGTTCTGTTGCATCCTCTCGAAGATTGGCCATGTGGAAAAACCTTGCGTCTTCGCTGGCTAAAACATGGAATCGGAAGGGGATCGAGGTCAATAATCCTTGGCTCAAAGAACGCATGCCAGGGGAACATGGCGTATAAGTCTACACTTCTGAACCCTGGAGACAAGGTTCGCTTCATTGCTTCCTTGTCCGTGTCATCTGCGCCACTGTCCAACTTCTCGGCCATCCACAACAAGAACGCCTGCTCGTACTCTTCCGGGCCTCAGAGGCACGAAATGCGCACGCAGCTCGCACGCAGCACCTGGACATCAAAGATTCTTCACAGGCTTGGGGGCCGCACTGACGCGGAGCAAGCCCGCGGGGTGATCCAAGGGCGAGGTGTCCATCACTGCGATGGATATCTCAAAGGGATAGTTCTTGAGGGTTCCCTTCTCCCAACGGAAGTTGAAGATCTTGTCCTTGCACTCCATCAGTGCTGTTTCAGCCACCGGTACGTTCCTGCAACACACACAGGAAATACATCGGTGCCTACAAGTGTTTGCAAAGCTAGCCATGTGCCACACGAAACAGACATGAAGCAGTCCGACTGGGGCTGTAGGCGAAATTTATCATGAAGAGGTTGCCAACACAGCGGTAAGTTCCAGCACCAGTCATCGCCCGGTGGTAGTCGCCTGCGTCGAACGCCTTCTCGGAACCGCCGTCGGAGATGTCCAGCGGCTTTTCATTCTGGATGCCTCGCAGCAGATCGTCCAGGGTTTAGGGTTAAATATGCCTGGCGGCAGGTCGTTTGGGCTTTATAGCGTTTAAGCTTCTCTGCCGAGTGGCCGGGGAACTTGTCCAGGATCGTGGCGACGGCATCATTCACCTTGCAGATGAGGCTCTGGTTCACGCCTCCATCCCAGTAGCGGTGTTCTTCACATCCCGGCGGGATTTCCGCCGCTTCCCGTGGCTGGGCTGCTCCAGCCACTGGGCCGGCGGCTGGGGCAGGTGCGACTTTCGCCTTTCCTTTGGCGGCCGCCTTGGCGGCCTTGGCCGCGGCCTTCTTCTTCGGATCGCCTGAGTCTGGCAAACTAATTCCACGAGCTTCTTTCCTAATGCGATTTGCTATCCTGCTCTTCCAAGTGGCCCTTGGGTGCCATGATTTTGCAAGGTCAGCGCGACCTGCCACTTCTCGCTAGATCCTGCTTCTAAACGGGTGCCAAGTGAAAGGCACTATGCATCAAGGACTCTCTAACACTTGCCGGTGAGTTAAGTTCTCATTCTGGAATCCGCTTGCGACTGAAGCAACACTTGCCGAGTAGTTCTCAGTCTGGAATCGGTCTGGACTGAAGAGGCTGCGGCATACTGGTCACTGAGCTCAACAAATGGTCTGTGCACTGAGGACTGCAGAGTCAATGTCTTCCGAAGCCAGGATGAGTGAATGACTGCAGACGAGGGGACTCGGAACACACATGACACTTTCTTGCACAGAAATGCAGAATAACCGGGCTTTACCGCAAGACAAAAAAAGACGCGCTATGGTGATCGGCCGACTGTTTATTTGCTACCTGCGCGGTGCGGGTCGCGTTTAAACAGTCGGGGGCGCCCCCGACTGTTTATTCTGGACTGCGCAAACCAGACTGACTCCTCCTGTTCGTGGCTACGCAGTATCCAGGGAACAGCCGGACCCCAGGAGACAATGGATACAAGGCCGTGCGGGCCAGAATAAACAGTCGGGGGCGCCCCTGGGTGTTGGACCTGATGGACCCAGCGGGTCAGAATAAACAGTCGGGGGCGCCCCTGACTGTTTATTCTCTACCTGCGCCGTGCGGGTCGCGTTTAAACAGTCACCCCATCGCTATAAGGGCATCTTTTTTTCGTACTTAGATTACGAATGAGCTGCAACCTGTTACAACTTCCAAGAATCTCTTCCTATTGAAATCACAGTGGAACCAACATTCAGAGAACGGCTGCACACCAATGAATCTGCAAAGTCTCTTACCCGACTTTTGGTCCTGAGCTCTGTTGCCTGTCGCATTCCCCCTGCGACGTTTGCTTGAAGCAAAGCTGTACATGGAAGCCTCGGCCAGAAACACTTTCTCAGCAAAGGCGGCTGGCAACTTTGTCGACCACGGAAATCATTTTCAGAAACTCTTTGGCTGTCACGGCTTTCTTCTGCCCTCTGTACAAGCGCTTTCTGGCTGTGTCAGCTGCCTCAATGAGCACAATCACGCTGCCACGCGTGGTGGTCACTTCAGATTCCCTTTGCAACAGCGTCCATTGGCTTCCGGGCTTGCGGCATGCAGCAGTGATAAGATCGGTGATGCCAGGGATGCTTGCCTGGAAGGACTCACTGATCCAAATCGCCCGCTTCTTCGCGCTGGCTGCCTCGTACTTCAAGAAAGGCCCATGCTTGCCAGCCGACGCCGCAAACTTCTTGGAGAGACACAACCCCCCGAACAGAGCAAGCACCCATCGCATACGAGAGGACGGGCTTGCCACATTCTCCACAATGCACACCTGGGCTTGCTTGCACTGCTGTTCCACCTCCTGGCAGCCAACCAGCGCATTTGCAGGCAGCGACAGCTCTTTCTCCACCGCAACGACCTGTCCACGGGAAGTACTAAAACTAGCTCCCAAATGGTGTAAATAGATTGAAACAGCACTGCAACAATCAGGCCTTGCCCCGGACAGCGGCTCCAAGACTCAGGATCCGTGGTCTGCGCATATCCAAGTCCTGCCTCTTGCGGGCCTCTTTTTCCTGCTCGCGCCGCTTGGCCTCGCGTGCTTTGGCATGTACCTGCAAGGCTGTTCCAGCCACTTTGGTCTGCTCGTCCTGCAGGAGCTTCTTGTCCAATGCGGCATCTAGAAACTTCTTGTCCAGTTTGCGCTCTTGGAATGCGGCTTCGGTTTCATGACCACTCGTCCAGGCCGAACTGCCTCTGGCAAATCGAATCTTTCCATGAAGCTGCTTCACGCTCTTCAACGGCCCCTTGCTGCGCACTTCCTTCAGAACTTTTTTCTGGGAGGCATCGCGCCATGCCTTGATGGACAAGTCTTTCTTGGTCTTCTTCCGAGTCATGCCCTTGGTGATCCGCGAGTCCGACTTCATTTTGCGCGGTTTGCCATACTGCAAGTGAGTCCAAATCACCTCAGACTCGATGGTTTTTTATGCAAACCTGCAACAGCTACGGCCCCACTAAGGTCTTTCATTCGAGTCACACGGGCACGATGGCACAGCTTCGCATCATCCACCAATGCATCCAAGCAAAGGGCGTTCTCATCATTGGCGGTGGATTCGAGCATTCGCAGTCGCTGCTTTCCAAAAAGCTGCGTCTGCTTGCCAAACGACTGTTCGACGCCAGATGAAGTGCATCCGTTATAGGCACCAAACCTCTGCAGTGCTTCGCCCAGTACGTCTCCTGGGTGTCTCTTGCGGCCACCACTCGCATTCTCATATGACAACCATGCCCGCTTCCAGGCATCAAAGGTGTCGACGTCAGTCGAGTTGTAGACCGCCTGGGCAGCTGGTCGATGGTCCTGACAAAGCTGTTACACTGAAGAAGGCCCGGCGGGTCCGGCTAGAACGGGGCTCTAAACAACGACTCTAGACTCTACCGATTTGCTTCGGGCCTCGAGCTGTTCCAGCAATGTGTCCTTGGGCAAGTCGCATAGTAAAGCAAGCCTCTCCACACACTCCTGACGTGTCTGGGCTCCGGGACCCGTTGGATTCTTGCGCTTGCGGCTGTTGCAGCCACCAACACCAAGCTGGAAGGCTCGAAAAGCCATGAGGCAGCCGAAAGAAGGAAACTCTGCCATGAGAGTTTGCAATGCCAACTTTGTGTATGCAAGAAATCTTGGACGGCATTTTGCGAGTGCATCTCTGGTTTTTGCCGGATTGCCACCCACACTACCTGCCGTGCCGTCCTTGAAAAGCCAGACAAGAGGCCGCTCGAGACGGGCCAGCATGTGTCGAGTCAGTCCGTTGTCATCACACGCCTGATCAGCAAACAAATGGTGCAACGAGTTGGCACATTCGAGGCACTGGTCGGCGACGCCGCTGATGTCGTGCTCTTCACTATCCAAGAAGCGGGTCAGTCTGAGAATGCATGCCGAGGCATCTCCGAGCATCGCAAGGGTGAGGAGCCTCTCCTCGGTCAGCAGCTGCAGGAAGCTGTTGCACACAGCGGTCTCCTCGGAGCTGTTGTTCCTGATGATCTGCTGCGCCGCCATGATGAAGGCTTCCAGGAACAGCGTCAGACGAAGCATGGGCTCGTAGGAGGATTCGAATCGTTGCTTCGCCAGGCTGAAATTCCGCACAGCGTTTGTGGAACGGTCCTGCACATGTCAGTGTCATTTAGCATGTATACTTTGCATGGTGCGTTGCAGGAAAGCTTCAAACTATCATGTATGAAACACGGGCCGACTACCTCCATGGTCTTGATGAAGCCCTCCAGCAGGTTCTTGAAGGGAAGGCTGTAGGCAGCCGCTTTGACCACAGCAGTTTTGCCCATGACCAGCTTCTCCATTGTGTCGTCCAGGAACTTGTCGGCCTTCAGCGGCCGCGAGTAGATCCTCACAGCCAGCAGCTTCAGATTCGGGGCTTTTTGGGAACAGGGTCTGCATGGACACGCAGGCAGCAGCTTCAGGATCCGAGCTACGATGTTATTCGGAGCTCATCTTGGGTTCATGAAAGTACACTGGTCAGAGGTCGAGTGTAGTGCCGCTTACCTTGGAGTTGGGCTTAGCTTACGTTGGGGTTGCTTGAAGCTTTGTGGGCTTTCTAGGATGCGTCCGTTAGGTTGTAAGAGTCATTCATGTGCTTTGTTTATCTTGTTTGTGGCCTAGAACACGTACGTGCTAGACCCCAGACCACTAGAGTCCGCAACAACGACATGTACGCAACTGTTGAAGACGACTAATTGATGGGTCCTGCAGCATGCACTATAAAACGACGTTTCTTAAAAGAAATACGCCTTTTTGGCACCGGCAAGCGATCGGAA